CTATATATATATATATAGTGTAATCTGGGCCGACGTGGGCGTCTATTTTTCTTTTGTGTAGCTACTTGCTCATAGTAACCTTTACCTTACTATATATATATATATATATATAATTACAGTTCTTCTAAGATACACCACTCTAATGGTGATCTTAGAATTTCCAACTCCATAATCCTTGACTATAAAATTGTCCTATATATTTAAAAATAATTTTTGGCTCTAACTAGTTCATGTATTTTTGGAAGGGTAATCTTGTCATTTTAAAATCCCTCCAAAAGTAAAATTTCAAATTTAATAAAATTCCTCGACTTTTCAAATTATTTTGAATTTGAGCAGTGTTTTAAAACTACGAATATGCCCTTTCTTAAATTTTAAAACAAGCTTTGTTAATGCAATTTTCAGATCCGTAAAGGCAATTTTTGGTCAAAATTTTTGGAGTACGAAATTCTGAGACATGCGTGCTCGCATGCATATGTGTGTGCATGTGTCTACGTGTGTGCGTTTATATATGCATGTATGTATGTATATTATGTATGTATGTATGCATGCGTATGTATGCTTGTATCATGAAATGGTTACATAATACTACAATAAAATTTCTCCTTCATAAACCACGTTAGAGCATTTTATTAGTTTAACCCCAAATTGTAAAAATACACTCTTTTCATTCAGATCAACAACATCAAGAAAACAAAGTTATGAAAGAAAACTCTAAAACATGGTTTTTTTAACACAATGAATGTAGGACATCCACTTGATGGGAAAATTAGATTTAGAATAGGCTAATTTTTAATTTTAACCAAAACATTTGAAATGGTCTTATCATCATAAAATGAATAGTTTTAAAAAAGAAAAAATGTGTTTGAGTTCTTAAATGACTAGATCCAATGTTTAAAAAAACGAGCGGTGACCTGAATCGATCTCACCCATAACAGTGTCGAATCGGTGGATCGAATCGGAGAATCGGCCGAATCAGCAATTCTTGTCTCAAAAGTTTTTCAAAAAATCGCTAAAAATAGTGTTCTTTTAGTTTCTAAAAGAAATTAGAAGTGGTGCATTAGGTATTTTTCTTATTTTATAAAAATAAATGAATGCTGAGACGTTTTCCTGTCTCGATACATGTATAATTATTAACTACAATATAGTATTATAATATTACATCAAAATAATTTAAAAATATTAGAAAACACTTCCATATAATCAAACATTTATTAATTCGCTTTACTCATCCAAATTTATCATAACCTAACTAACTATAATATTATACTGAAATTGAAATTGTTGATTTATATTTTATAATTATTTTAGTACAAATAAGAACAAATCTAAAATGTCGTACAATATCATCTAATTTAAAAAAAATCTTATTTATAACTATAAGAAATTATAATACATTCCATAATTTATAATGCAAATAAATTAAGGGAAAGTATATAGAATGAGATACAAGGTGGTCACATTAATCTTGACCATTGGATGTGAAATTGGGTGGCTGTAATTATTCTTTTGACCAAATTAAAACTTTCGAAGAAATTTTCTCGAACTTTGTGACACATCAAAGCTATCAAATTTCACATCAAATAGTTGTAAGGAATTGTGACCACCTTGTATCAAAGGTAAATGGTCTCATTGTATACAATCCCATAAATTAATAAATAAAATACAAGATTTGGTTATCAATATATTATTATTAATTCAAATATTATAATAAACGTGATTCAAATATTATTAGAAAATGCTTCCATATCAAATGATTAAAAATAAAAATAAAAACCCTTATAAAATTCAATGTTAATAAAAAAATTCAAAAAAATATTTTTACCCTAAAAAATAGAAAATAAATATATCAAAAATCAGAAAACAAAAAAAATGAAAAAAAAATGTTGAATCATATACCATGTACATCGTATAGTTTATTGGAAAAATATCTCCATACCCCCTATTTTTAGGTTTCATTTCACATAGACCTAAGGTTTTAAAAGATATCTTGGGACATAAAAATTGTAGATTTTCTCTTCTAACCCCTTGAGCTAATTTAAACCTGTTTTTTTAGGCCAAACAAATCTAAAAAGACGTATCTTTTCTAAAAGCCATCCTCCCAAACTTCTAGAGAGAGAAAAAGGCTTCATGGAGGTGAGAGGTTATTGGGAGGAGAGAGAAAGGTGTTTGGAGAAATACGGGAGGTGAAAGAGTGAGAGATGTAGGAAGAGAGGGAGAGAAGTTTGGGGTATATAAGTGAAGAGAGAGAAAAGATTGGGTTTAAAAAAAACATATCTTTCTCACATTTGTTTAAGTTAAAAAATAGGTTTAAAGTGGCCAAGGGGTTAAAAGATATCTTTTGAAACCTTGAGTTTATCAAGAAATGAAACTTAAAAATAGCGGATATAGAGATATTTTCTGTAGTTTATTTTACTGAATCACAACAACCATTTGTGGTTAGTTTGTATTTTTATAAACTGGACCTTACTTGAAGTATAATGTCTATAACTTATATAAAAATCTTACTTGTAAAAGTAATAAAATATCATTGGTTTCTAGTTTCTACTGTTTATTGCCTTATTTTGTATTATTGGGGTTAAAGTTTAAAACAAACGAGCCGATTTTTTTTTTTTGTAAAAGAAAATATGCAGTAGCTAACAAGACCCTCCTAAATGAAAATTTGAAATCGAGAGGATTGGATCCCTCAACATCTTGGCGCACAACACGCTACCTAAAAAAAAGTACTTAATATGTTAACGCATAGCATGCCTTTGCTTTTGATAGTTTCCATTATTTTAACCTTTCATTGATAAAGGTAACAACACGCATAAAACACGGAGGTACAAAGGGGCAAGAAATAGTCCCACATCAAAAAGCAATGGAAGTCCAAGGCAGCATAAAAAACACGCAACCCATTATAATTTCAATAGCTTGCAAAGTTCAGTAGAACTGTGCCATATGAGTGGGACGGTTTTGTCTTGGATAGCGGGTCCTCAAAAGTTGCCCTCAAGACAGTGTTGTAAAAGCATTATATGGGCAGCCAATTTACCTCTTTTGAGGAACAAAAATTAAAAAAAATTAAAAACTGTAGGAATAGGTGGGAATCGGTCGAGTTCTCAAAAGAGTTCATGATGTCATGTTATGCAGAATGGTCGAGTTCTCAAAAGAGTTGTGATGTCATGTTATGCAGAATCGCCGTTTCATGACATCATCACACTGATTTTATACAGTAGAATCACTAAAGCCCGTTTTATACCTAGATCCGGAATGATCTAGCCGATTCCGGATCGGGTCACTGATATTTTAAACCTTGACTAAATCTATATGTCCACCACACGTTGGCGTGCACTATTTGGGCGCAAGTTCAACCTTTTCTTTTTTAAATCTTGAGATAACTCTTATTGATGAGGGAGTGTTTGTGCAAAATTGAGTCATACAAGTGCCCCTAACATGGGTTCTTGAATAAGAAGTTTTGGTATATTACTAGGGATCTATTGGACGCCAATTTTTTTCACACATGTAAAACTCATCCAATCAACCCAAGAAAAATGGAATTCCAAAAAAAAAAAAAAAAACGAGGAAAATGATTCCACCATGTTTGGCGGACGGAGGTCGTCCATTTGGTGCACGGTCCATCTAGGCCTTCAACTACTCAAAATTTATTTTCCTTTTTTAGATTGTTTATTTTTTTAATGAAAAACATACAAAAATTCACCCCAAAAGACCCCTTTAGCTGTGTGCTCAGGGCCTCAGCTTATATATATATATATATATAAGCCCATTAGCTATAAAATCTTATAGAATCAGGTCTGTGTATAGATACACACGAACAAACAAACAGAGTTTGATACTCTTGAGCAGAAAACAGCCATACCTCGTTCTTTGCTTCAGCAAAGGGCAAGTCATGACTGGAGTGCGGATGTCCTTCGCAGCCCCGAGAATTTCCTGCAAACGTGGGATACCGAGTGTCACATTCATTTCTCCTTGCCCTGCAAAGTGAAAGGTGTTCAGCCTGCAAGATTGACAAATCAATTCAGAGATTTGGAAAACAGGGCCCTAATCAAAGACAATAAAATTAAAATGCAAATGGAGTGAGCCCAGGAATCAGGGGATGCACTAGATACAACTAAGTTAAGGGTGGCAATGGGCCGGGCCTGGGCCGTGGCAGCCTTGGCCATGGCCTGGCCCTTGTCCCCAAAAGACCGGGCCAGGCCAAAAATAAATAAAAACATAAAGAAAAAAAAGACCGGACCGGCACTGGCCCTAGCCCGGCCCCTGGGCCACAGTTTGTGGCCCAGACCTACTTTTTTAGGGCCGGGTTGCCCAGCCCATTGCTAGCTCTAAGCTAATCTATCGACCATGTGACCAACATATCACCTAATAGTGGGGCAACCAGCTCTAAGAACCAGCTCTAAGCTAATCTATCAACCTTATGACCAACATATCACCCAATAGAGTACAAAGGAGATAACTTTAAAGCATTCACAAAAATAATAATAAAACAATAATAATAGCAAAGGAATGATGTATTTATTCATTGTTCAGTGAGGAAGACTTTAGGTTGACGGGTTATTGCTTTCATTTTTTTGTGAATGCATTTCTAATAATATATATAGACAGGATGTGCTGTTGATTCCTGAAGCAAACAATAAGCAATAGGATTTGATTATTTGGGAAAAGCTTGTAAAAAATGAAAAGGGATTTATGTCCAAGAATGCTTTACAAGTTTGCAAGCAAACAACAGTATCAATACAAAGATCAAAGAACTTAAACAAGTTGAACCAAATAGAAATATCATTTACCAAAGAAATGCAAATCTTCCACGGCCCTTTCACAGATAAATTAAATTGTGAAATCTACCATAAACTCAAAATGCATAACATACTACAGTTAACATTCTCAAAATAAACAATGCATAACATACTGATAAATGGAAACTAATAAAAAGGTTTAACATGTTGAACCAAACAGAAAAAATCACTTTACCAAAGAAACACATATCTTTCAAGGTCCTTCCTAGATAAATTTATCAGGAAATCAATCAGAAATTCAAATTGTATAATATACTGATACATTCGATCTTATAAAGGGAGTTGATGGATGTCTTTAAAACCATTTTTAAGAGTCTCCAACTCACAGAAATTTGTCTCTTGACACCAGGATTTTACGGATGGCACGTAAGAAACCAGCCAAGCTCTACAATTTCCAAAAGGCAAGTTACCAACTTCCAGATCATGTTTGAAGAACATTACAATAACATATGACAAAATATGACTCAGACATTAAGTGTAGAATTCGCTGTAATTACCACATCTACTTAAAAAACGTCATGGGATACTGCATACCGATAATAAAATTTCACAACCATAATTGCAATATATGCAACAATAAATAATGTCATTAATTAGAAGAAACAATGTTCAAGAAGACGGGGGCGAGCGCCAGGGTGGTTGGGTTCCCAACCGCCTAGGCAGGCACCCAGTGATCTGAGCGGCTCCTGAGTGGAGGGCCAAGGAAGAAAAAAAAGAAGAAACTGGGAGGCGAGGATGGGAGGTGGTTTGGTGTTTGGGCGTTGGTTTCCAAATTTCAAACTTGTGTCATATATTAGAAACAAAGCCACCAACACATCAAAAAAAAGAAAGAAACAAACAAACCAAGCCACCAATACATCAAAAAAACAAAAGAAAGAAACAAACCCAAATATAGGCAAAAATATATTATAAATTGTCAAATATGCATTATCAAGTAGAAACATAGCCAACCATAACAAAAAATATACTAGAATAAAAAAACTAGCACAACCCCTAAAAAAAGAAAAGCAAAACTTATAAAGATTCATAGTTTTCAAGACAACAAAGGGAAACGTGGCCAGAATGGAAAAGAACTCACGTCATTTGGGTTGATGGTTCTCCAATAGACTGGGCAGCAATGACACCAACAGCTTCTCCAGGTTGGGCAAGACTTGAAAAGTATTTGAGCTTTAATAAATTTCTAAAATGCTTCAGCTTCCTCAGGTGAAGAGAATCTCTCTTTTTCTTCGAAAGTTTCTCAATAAATTTGTTCATTTTCTCTTCAAGAGCATCAGGCAAATCCTTGATATAACTATCATATTCAGAAGGAAGCGCATCCTCAAGTTGATGAACCCCAAGTCTCGCTGAAAGAGTTTTTTTATTCTGAAGCAACCCAGTAGTCAATTAATTTTCAACCAAAAAAAAGAAAAAACACGTAGTCTTATGATAATTACTTTTCAGATTGAAAGAGACAAAATTAACATAGGCTAAAGTTTCAGGGTTCACAGCAGCAAGAAATTTGAATTCCGTTAGCCAGCTAGTTTTGACAACATCAACACCATCTTCTCCATAAATGAACTCGATAATAGATCCATCAGAATCGCGCACTGTATGATCATAATTTACTCTTAAACATTCAAGATTCTTCATCAGACGCCGTTGCAGGTAGCCACTACGAGCTGTTTTAATTGCAGTATCCACAAGCCTGCACAAAAGATAAAAGTCCTATGACAAAGAATTCCAAGCTATGTCAAATTGCAATACTTGTACCATGTCATGGTTGCTTTACAATCACCATCAACATGAAGAAAGAATTAAGGCACCATTTGATTTCCATAGGGTTTGTTCTCTTACCCCCATTGTATAACATGCCAAAGTCATGCAATGACAATAATGAACTTTGTGTCTCAATGACGGACATCAAGCATACTATCTAACTTTTGAACAATGATTAGAATTTTAACTTTAGAGCAATGATTAGAAGAATAATATTAACAAACCAAAAGAACACCTTAGACCAATGCAATGCCAAAATGTTTTACACATTCATTTCTTTTGGATAAGTAGCTCTATAGTTAACAGAATTGTTACACCCCCCTCCACCCCAAAAAAAACAAAAAACCAAAAGCTAGCGATTCCGAGAAAGAATCGCGGTTCCACATTTCCGTGAAGGAATCATCATAGATCCCGATTCCTAAAAGTCAGGAATCTCAATTCCACATTTTTTGAATCTCGCTCCAATGTCTTTTGAATCTAGATTCCACATCAAATTTTGCGATTCATAGGTGCACAAGAACATGATGCAACCAATATGAGGCCTTGCTTCGAATGTCTAGGACTTGATTCCTATAAATTAGAACATAAGGCATTAAAAATTGAAGTTCCATTATGAAGTATATTTATATTTATATGTTTTAAACACAAACACAAACTCCCTAGCACACATCAACACGTCACAAGCCAAGTTTGTTATGCAAAAAACACTTAAAATCAGGTGGCATAATGATTGCCAAAATGTCAGTTGCTATAATGATTACCAAAATTTTATGAGAAAGCTTGGAATTTTTTAAAATTATTTGAAAATTTTTGTTATTTGAAACTCACTAGTAATTAATATATGTATCGATAAACTCAATGGGTGTAGACAACCTCTAGTTTATATCATTTCTAAATTTTGAGAATTTTTAACAATGTTTTTTTTTAAAAAAATATTATTAATAAATAATAAATAAAGTGATTTCATTTTCTTTGTTTAATCTAAAAATTATAGGAAAGTACTTAGTTAAGGGTACTCAACCTTGTTTCCAATACCCGTGGAGAATTGTGATAAAAGGCACTCAAAGACATTGACTCTAATAATAGGGGAGCCCTAGGTAAGCATACTAAATATATAGAATCCAATACTAATGAATTCTTGCGTATAGATAATTTAAAACCCTAAATCTTTAACCTTTTCAAACTCATTTCTTGATAATCTCTGGCATAGTTCTAAGTAATTTGGTGCTCGATTCCCGTAAGTTACGAGTCGTGACTCCATGTTAATGGGACCGTAATTCCAAAAAGGTAGAAATATCGATTCCTATTGGAGCGGAGACGATTCCCAAATGCTAGGAATCCCACTTCATGTGATATGCATTATACAGACGGCAATTCTGACTACCTGAATTATTAGGCCACCCACGATTCTGTGATTTCGATTCCTGAAATGACTCAAAAATACTGGTGTTTGCAACAACTATAAGTGAAACACACATTTTAATAGAGTTACAATCCAAATATTGGATTACCCTGGCAATAAACGAAAACGGAAGAAAGAAATATCACTTGTATAAAAAATAAATAACTTCTCCAAGAATCTAATGAACAAAAAACCAAAGTAACATTCTACAACAATAGCAGGTTGAGCCACAAAGATACAACCAAGGGTTTAGAAAGCGGATTGGTGATCACGATCGTCCATCCGGAAAACCAAGTCAGATCGACGGATCGGCAGTTCGGATTGGAGAATCAAATGGATCGACCGGATTTGGCTTTAAATTTCAAACAATAACTAAAATTTATCAAAAATCTAGTTTTTTAGGTTTTTCCAAAAAAAATAATGGTATCGAATTATAATTTTTCATTATTTTACATAAAATATGTAAATATTAAGAACTTGTCTCCTGTCTAAGGGTATGTTTGATGACCCCCGATTATCTTGATATTTCAAAATTTTAGAAGATTCAGATTCCTATAATCTAGTAAGCTAGAAAATGCGTTTGATAGCACCAAACCATAGCTACAAAGGATATGACCCTTAAATCATGATCCTCCAAATAACAAGTTCCACTTGAATTTTTGGCGATACAGATAAACACGAACTTCCGGGTTAGCATTCCTCGGTCACGCAATCCCATGGGATTGTGTCTTGACAGTTCTTGCCCTACCAAAGCTTCCCTCTATCAACAGAGGTTCATCCATTCTCTCTCTAAAACCTCTCATATCCACACCTTAGTCTGGCCATGGCTTGCCCATATTTTTTGGCTCTCTCTCTGCCCTTCAAGGAGCTCTAAAATCATCTCCCCTGTAGCTTTTGATTACCGTGCAACTATGGATCAACCATTGCCATTATTAGGGCTCCAAACTCCAATGACAAACCCCAACAAAAAATGGAGTTGTATTAAACTCTCAGCTTGGAATGATCTCTTGCCCTATCTCAACTTGGGGCTTCATTTATATCAGGGGGTTTCTAGGTTTTTATCCTTTAACTTGGGGTTTCAGTGTTGATTACAGGTGCAGTGCAATTTGCAAAATCATTTCTTATTTACTGGTTTTCTCTCACTTTGTGAGATTTTGTTGGTTGTGCCTCTTATGGTACAATTTTGCAAGTTCTCATGATTTAGGGGTTTTTTGGGGTAGGTTCCCTGCTCTCATCAGTTGCAGTTCTAGTTCATGAGCTGATAACTTCTCTATAAGCACCTCAATATTTTTTACCATCGAGCTTAATTTTTCTCCACATCTTGTTGGATCTTTAGAACACCTGATAAGCTTTTTGCAAAGACCTTTTTGCTTGCCAACGCAGCAAATTGTTGGCCCTCAAGCACATTGGCAGAGAATCAGAATTACCATAGACAGTCAAACACAGCTAAAAGACACCAATCAATATATTAGACAATCTTGATATGTGGAAAGCCAACGAGGGTTACATACAGATTTTTTAAAATTTGAATATTTAAATACTATTTCATCAAACATACCCTAAGTGTTTGCTATTCATTAATTTCACTTCACAGTAAAAAATTAATCGTCCTTATCTCAGTTATATAAATGAATAAATAAGGGAAAAGATCATGTCAGCCCACTAGCTGATGGAATAGTCTAAATCCAACAGCCCAGATTGAATCTGAGCCGATTTGATGATCACTAGCGTATTTCATATCCAAATTTTTATCTTTTTTCTATTAATTCAAATTACTTGAAATTTGGAGCGTCCACTCTTTACAAGGCATACCTAATAAAAATATTAAAAAAACTTATTTATAAAAAAATAAATTAACCAAAATACCCCTGTAACTTTTAGGGGTTTTTTGGTCAATTCATTTTTCGTAAATTATGTTTTTAATAGTTTTATTAGGTTCGCCTATTTTTCAAGATTAGAGCCTCTCTCTCTCTCTCTCT